ATCATTTCTCACACACTGTCATAGAGATGCGGATAAATATCGTTGTCATTAGAAATTATGTCGTATAGACTCACGTTGTCCCGTGATTGTGTCGGAAGTAGAAGAGCCAGTCTCATCCAGTGATATGTGTGCGTCCAATTAACAAGTCGCTTCGCTTATTATTTCACTCGTCGTCTACTCGAACAACTGTTCCGACTTATTGTTAGTATATAAAAGGCACCGGGTGCGTGACGAGATTTAAAGTAAAATGCGACAATACACTATATTACCTAACGGAGGATCAAGTCACTTCGAGAGAAAGGGGGAGAAAGAGAGAGAAAGAAAGAGAGAGGGAGAGGGAGGGAGAGAGAGAGAGAATACTCTGTAATGTAACAGCTGTTAAGAGGGAAAAGAGAGGCAACAACAAGACGAAGATGCTAACACAACTTCTCGAGTGCGTCCTAGCATTGTACACAACCTGTATATTTTTCATTTGTCCGAATTATATGTTTCTGTGTGTGTTAAACGTTATAAAAAACAAGTGTGAGAATAAAAAGTGTCAAGTACAACACCACTTTTGTACCGTAGATAGACGAGCATCCTGCGATTCTCTCGGAGAGTGCGAGAGAGCCCGTCGATTTTCGGCCGGAGCCGGAAGAAAACGTCGCGTTCTCTCCTCTCGCGATACTTTTCGCGATCTCGCGGATGGGGAGAGCTTCGCGGGCTTCTCCCGTGCTAAAACCGCGCAGTTGTCCCTTCACGACTATGCGTTTCCTATCAGAGAGAGAAAGAATACTGAACCGTTCGCGCGATTGACAATCCAAGTCCGAAAGTCCGAGTTCGCGGACGAGAAAGACGAGGGAAGAAACTGTCGTGCCGTTTAGCGAGCGAATTAAGAGGGTATTCTAGTGTGAAGAGCCAAGGCAATTTTTGGTAATTAATTTTAAGCAAATTGTTAAACCTACAGAGTTAATGTTTTGTATTGACATTTATTTATCTTTGAGGAAACATTTCAAATCTTGTCAAAACTTTTTATTCAAAATTGGTGAAAATACGAAACAGGCCGCGCCGTCTTCCATCGGGCTTATTAATTGCCGCCGTCCTCGTCGTCTGAAATAAACGAATTTGCTTTTATTTTGTTCTTTATGAATGTAGCTATCTCCTGAACTATAATTAAATAATTTGAAGAAAAATTGACAAAATGGCGACGCTTGAAAAATAATAGTCTGATTTTTACTAAAAAATTCTTTTCGCGGTCCGGAAGAATAGTAATTTTAAAGATATCAAAAAGATTCTAATTCGTGCGATAGCCACGAAGAACGTTCATAAAGAACAAAATAAAATTCGTTCAGACGACGAGGACGGCGGCAATCAACACGCCCGTTGGAAGACGACGTGACTTGTATCATCCACTTGTATTCTCTCCAATTTTGAATAAAAGGCTTTGACAAAATTTGAAATGTTTCTTCAAAGATGAATAAATCTTAGTACAAAACATTAGCTCTGCAAGTTTAACCATTTGCTTACAATTAATTCCGAAAAATCGGGTCTTGAAGACGGGTCTTCACGCTAAAATACTCTCTTAACCTATTAAGGCTCAAGAGAAAACCGCTAAGGAACCGCTTTCAAAAACCATCTAAATTAGGGCAAAACGTCGAAATTTGTTAAAAAGTGAAAAAAAATTTGTGTTGGATTTCAAAATTCAAAATGGCAGACCAATATGTCGGCCCGAAAATTTGAAATTTTGACCTATTTGAGTGAAAATCCGTACAGGAGGGTTTGGGGTTCGCTGAGTATGAATATGCACTTATTTTTTCAAAATTCGCAATGGCGGATCCAATATGGATCTCAAAAATTTGACATAGTTTTGTTATTTGGCGAAAAATCTAACCAAATTATAAGCTACCTTTCGAAGGTGTTTGTTTTGGGACAAAACATCATACTTTAGCAGACTGTAGAAAAAACATGGTTTTTTGACTTTAAAAATCAATGTGGCGGTCAAAAATTTTTAATTTTGATTTATTTCAATGAAAATACGTTTTGAAAAATTTTGAAAAAATAAGTGCATTTTCATCCCCATCGAACCCAAAACTTCCCCTATACGGATTATCACTCAAATAAGTCAAAATTTCAAATTTTCAGGCCGACATATTGGTCCGTCATCTTGAATTTTGAAATCCAACACAAGTTTTTTTTCACTTTTTAACAAATTTTGACGTTTTGCCCTAATTTAGATGGTTTTTGAAAGCCTATCCTTAGCGATTTTCTCTTGGGCCTTAATGGTCTAATCCGCCTCCCCGCTGATCAGCGAGACCCCGACACCGCCGCCCCGATAGACAGCCACCCTTAAGATGTACTAATACGACTGACGCTTGAACATTTCAGTGAAATTCATGCCGGAATCGCAGACGCAGAACATGTCTATGCCGGGCTATATGCCGGCCATGCCTGGTCAGAATATGCAACCAGGCGTACCTAATGTAGCTGTGCCCGCGGCCAATACAGCGACGGGCAACGCAGCCGCTGGCGGTGGCGCGCCGCAAACCGCCGGAGCCGCGTTGGTCTCTGCCGGCGACGTGCACAACGGTAAAGGCAGCGCCGTGTAAGCGCGACGACGACGGCCTGCTCGTCGTCGGGAGGAAAGCGAACGAGCGAGAGAGAGAAAGAGAGAAGGAGAGAGAGAGAGAGAGAGGGGAGGATCGAAGGGACCGACCCTGACAACGACGTGACGACCTCATCCGAAAAGCAAACTGTTCGACGCGTACCCGCCTCGAACGCCAACTCTACTCGGAATCCGCGATCGTACGCGTAGAGCTCGAAGGGTTCGCTCGCGAGGAACGAGAGGTTGCTCCTCGCGACCTGTTCTCAGGCTCAGGGAAGTAAATTTCTGCAACGCGTGATCAACACGAGCTACTTTATTAAGTGAAAAGTAAATTTTGCGGAATGAGTGACGGTAAAGAACTTACTTTTCTTTCCAACGAATAACGAGTGATACGCTGAGAGAAAGATTCTTGAAAATTTATTCGTGGGATATGAAGTTTATTCGCAGAAATAAACTTTAGTTATACTTTATAAGATTCATATATTCTCACAGAAAGTAAAGTGAACTTTACTTTACACACGGAGATAAACTTTGTATCCCACAAATAAATTTTTTCAAGTATTTTTTTCAGTATACACTGAGAAAAAGATACTTGGAAGCTTATTTGCGCAATAAAAGTTTACCTTATGGAAATAAATTTTATATCATAAAAATAAATTTTATTTCACAGAAAGAAATTTGACGTCCCACAAGTAAATTTCAAAGTATTTCTTCTCAATATATAAAAAAAAATACTTGAAGACTTATTTGCGGGATAAAAGTTCATTTCACAGAAGTAAATCTTATCTCTCGCGAAAATACACTTTATTCCGCAGAAGTAAACTTTATAAGCTACAAGTAAGTTTTAAGTACTTCTTCTCAGTGTAATAACGAGTTATTTTTAAGAAAGTAACTTTCAAACCCTGCCTGTGTTCCGTAGGACTCGCGTCGCGAAATTTCACCCGAGGCGAGTCCTACAAGTCGCGAATACCTCTGGTTCGTTGTGTCATTATTGCAGCGAACCGTTCGACCCACCCTCGCGCTCGCGCGCGTTCGATCGATTCAGTTATTTTCCTATCGATGGTGTTTCGTAGTTGATGATAGCTCTCCCAATATATCTCACTCACCGATTATTACTAATTATTAATTGTATACCGTAGCGTTAGCGCGCAGATTTCTTTCACGTAGCGATTAGAGTTATTTTTTGTGTGTATTTTACACTCAATCCATATCCCGCCGACTTCGCGTGTGTGAGTGTATATGTGTGCGTGAACATGTGTGTGTGTGTGTGTGTGTGTGTGTGTATGTGTGTGGAGCTTGCGAGGCTCGTTCAAGTGGCAACGTCATATCGACTGCTCTTTTCCTCACTCGAGAAAAAGAGAATAAAAAGATTAGAAGTAATCACCGGGAGAGAGGAGGGGCGGGCTTTCATTCATTTGTCTTTTTCTTGTCGACGAAAGCGCGCGAGGAGCCCTTTTTCGATTCTGCTCAGCTAATCGCTACAAGACAGCAGCAACGCGAAGTTCACCGAGGGGATACATGGCCACATGTATTACCCCGAGACATGCAGATATATATACATGAATATGTACATATATTATTACGAATTGTCAATGTAAAAGATTAAATCTACGCGTATATATATATATATATATATATATATATATATATATATATATATATACATACATATATATATACATAAATTATTCGTATGTTAAAATATCGAATCTAAATACGGAGGAGATAGTAATATAAGACGATGGCTGTTGGACGGTTTGTTGAACACGGAGTCCGTACGAGAGCTCACTCGCCAGTGAAAGAAAAAGAGAGAGAGAAGAAAGAAGAATGAAAAATGACTAATGCGAAAACGTTCGAGTGCGCATCGTGTACAGGATGTTCTGTGAACACTACGTGATCGTTGTCTTCGCGCGCGAAGCGTTGTTATCTCTGACAACATATGATTTTCAGACGAACTTGTTTCACGTTGAATCTCTCGACTTTGCCGTGCGCGATCGGTATAATGGCAATTATATCGAGCGCGGAACGCGTGGTTTATGCAAAAATTATATTCGGCTTGACTTCGTAACGGACGCACGACTCGCGCTATATGTCCCTTTGCACCGTTTAATTGTTATCAATATACTACTTTGTATGTCGTGTAAAATCACAGAAGCATGTATTATTTCTTAAAGTAGTAGTCTTTATACTTCCAAGTATCGTCTAAGAATTGTCGGTATACATAAATTCGGGGAACGAATTTTTGTGAAAAGAAAGGGAAAACGGAAGAAGAGAAAAAGAAGAAGGAACTCTACACGCGTCAGCGGAAAGATTCGTGCTCCTTTGAACTAACGGGAAAAATTTCGCAATTTAGTTCACGAGTGTACTTATAGAAAGTGAATGAACTCCCGTAGAGAGGATAATTATCGATTCCTACTTACCCGTATTTCTCGACGTAGCGGGTCAAATCTCTCGAGAATTGAGTCCTCTGGAAACGTTAGCGTGAAACAAGTACTGTAGCGTTAATCGATTGGTACATTTACGTTATCGTAGCGCCCGCTATCATCGAGGCTCGTTCTCATCGCTTGTGGCGAAATTTGCGGCTGATTATACGGCGTATCTGCGAGAGAGAAAGAGAGAGATTCGAAATTAGGTGATGTCTTTTGAAGAAACGAGAAATTAACGTAATAATCGTATTCTATTTAACGGAACACTGTGCTGCTACTTTCACCCGATATCAGGTCATAATATAGATTCGATAAGCTGTGTATACACACCGATAATAATTATTAAAGAACAAGGAATGAACAAACAAATTAAAAAGTAGATTTGTAAGTTAGCCACTAAACGCTTCGACACTTTAGGCTGTTGATACGTTATTGTGTACGAATAACAAGATTATATAATTGCAATATATTCCTTCAGTTGTGTATATCTCACCGAATGGAACAGCTAATGTATATCGAGAAATGTAGAAGTGATATACTATAGAGATATTACTGTACATTAGGCTTAAATATACAACGTTGTGAAAAACAGTTGCACCTATTCATTGAATAACGTTTTCGTGTGGTCTTTGACGTAGAAAATATTAACCTTACTGTGTTAAGTCCACAGCCAGTGCATTTTGATCTTTCGCGTATGGAATTTCAACGGATTCCAATTAGACGACGGAAACGGGAAAGAAGGAGAGAAAATACTTGGAAATAGACACTCACCCGCTGCTGAGTCGTGTTTCTTGAACGTTAGAAAGAAATTTCTAAGCAGCTGCTGAATCTTGCCGCAACTTTGATCCTTCGAGAGTGAATGGCAGTTTGAAGCGGGAACGCAAGTGAACAGGCAGTCTGGCGCCATCTACCGACACCGCGGAGAAACCTGTTGCAATATAATCCGCTACTTAAATATACAACGTTGTGAAAAACAGTTGCACCTATTCATTGAATAACGTTTTCGTGCGATCTTTGATGTAGAAAATATTAACCTTACTGTGTTAAGTCCGCAGTCAATGCATTTTGATCTTTCGTGTATGGAATTTCAGCGGATTCCGATTAGACGACGGAAACGGGAAAGAAGGAGAGAAAATACTTGGAAATAGACGCTGCTGAGTCGTGTTTCTTGAACGTTAAAAAGAAATTTCTAAGCAGCTGCTGAATCTTGCCGCAACTTTGATTCTTTAAGAGTGAATGGCAGTTTGAAGCGGGAACGCAAGTGAACAGGCAGCCTGGCGCCATTTACCGACACCGCGGAGAAACCTGTTGCAATATGACCCGCTACTTAAATATACAACGTTGTGAAAAACAGTTGCACCTATTCATTGAATAACGTTTTCGTGCGATCTTTGATGTAGAAAATATTAACCTTACTGTGTTAAGTCCGCAGTCAATGCATTTTGATCTTTCGTGTATGGAATTTCAGCGGATTCCGATTAGACGACGGAAACGGGAAAGAAGGAGAGAAAATACTTGGAAATAGACGCTGCTGAGTCGTGTTTCTTGAACGTTAAAAAGAAATTTCTAAGCAGCTGCTGAATCTTGCCGCAACTTTGATTCTTTAAGAGTGAATGGCAGTTTGAAGCGGGAACGCAAGTGAACAGGCAGCCTGGCGCCATTTACCGACACCGCGGAGAAACCTGTTGCAATATGACCCGCTACTTAAATATACAACGTTGTGAAAAACAGTTGCACCTATTCATTGAATAACGTTTTCGTGCGGTCTTTGA